ACAGGATGCTTTGAAGCATTTAAAGGTACTAAATGAGAAAGTGTTAGGGACAGGTACTCAGCCTGAGTAAACAGAAACGTGTGAGAACAGGGCAGCCCCCAGGAGACAGGACTGCCGTGTCACAGCCTCCTCGGGAAGACGACCTGTGGACCACCGCAGGCACCAGGGCTGTCCTGTGTTCTGACGGTGAAGCAGCCAGTCGAATGACAGGCGGAGGGATCTGCTCCATCACCCAGGGATGGCCACCACGTTCAGAAGCTCTGAAGCCAGGCCCCAGCGCCTCTGCGGTGAGGGGAGGAGGAACAAACCCCGGTGTCCCGAAGCAAGTAACAGGATAACATCTATCACCATAAATTAGAAAGGGGCTTATGCATTTATGAGGGTTACTATGAAAATTACTTTTAATGGTTTGATAATTAAGGGGAAAAACCCATAATAATGATGCTATCTTCATTTTCTAGTACATTTAATGCTGGTAAACTTTCTTTAAAAAGTGTGTGTTTTATTTTCCCCCTCTTCAGAGAAATCTGCTTCTGATTCCGCTTCCGAAGCTGGGCAGGGAGGGGCGTGCGGCTCGGTGGGACACAGCCTAAGCCACTGTGAGTGGCTGCTGCCTGGAGACCCCAGCTGGTGGTGGGCGGCTGCAGCCCAGGGCCAGCCAAGGGCAGGGCCCCTGTGAAACCTCGCTCCTCCTACCCACGGAAGGGGGGACCAGCCCGGAGTGCTCCCTGAAGAACTACCATGAGATTAAGAAAGCCTAGCGGCTGGAAGTGGAGCTGGAGTGACGCCACTCCGGGGGTAAAAATGGAAGTTGATACAGCCCGCACGACTGGGGACAGCACCGTGAACTTCGTGACGGATGGAGTGCAGCCTAGGAAATGTAATCACTGCAAACCAGGAGGCACAAATCACACCGGGCCCCAGTGAAGTTAACCGGCGGTCCTTAATTACAGAAGTGATGCACTGGGCACGTCGCTGCGACTCACAGCGCGGAGATGAGTCACCAGTTTCCAGAGGACCTTTCAAAGAAGAGATTAGGGAAGTAGAAAAGGACTTTCTATATCCATTTGCTGAAATGCTGTACTTTAAAGATTAGAAGACAGCTCAAAGAAGTATAGAGATGAGAGTAGTATTTCCAATTTTTAAAAACTCTTTTTTAAATGACTTGTCTACGAGCAAGTAGGTCTTTCATAGACCTCCCTATGCAAGTGTGCCTGAGCACACACATGCACACACATATACACAGCTCCACACCATGCTCTTCCTCTTGCCTGTGATGCTCTCTCCCTGCCTCTTGTCCTCACTGACTCCTACTCCTTTGGCATAAGCAACCCCTCCACCCTCCTGCAAACCTTATGCTGAAAACCTACCCCCATAGTAGCAGACTTAAGAAGCAGGCCTTTGGGAGGCGATCAGGGTATGAGAATGGAGCCCTGATGACTAAGACCAGTGCCCTTTTCAAAGAGACCCAGAAAACCTTTTGTCTCTTCTACCTAGTCAGTGAAAAGCCACTGTCCAGGAACAGGAAATAGCCCCCAGCAGACACTGAATAAGCTGCTGCTTTGATGCTGGACCTCCAGCTTCTGGAACTATGAGAAACACATTTGTGTTGTTTATAAACAGCCTAGTCTATGGTACTTTGTTACAGCAGTGTGACTGTAGTAAGGTATCTTCAAAGTTAGCATCACTTCTACCAGAAAACCTTCCTAGGCAGCCCCCTGGCTCCCAGGCTGGGCTGGGTACATTTCTATAAGCTGTCGGATCTCCTCAGGCTGCATAAACATAAGATGGGAGGAGGGGCGTCTGCTTTCCTTCCCCACCAAAAGACAAGCAGTGCTGCATTTATTGGTAGGGCCTGGTCCCTAGTAGACATTCAGAAAGTATTCCCTGAATGAGTAAATTAACATCCTAAAGGCTAAAGACTCATTTTGCTACTACCTAGCATAGGCATCTTCCAGGGGTCTGTATGTTAAAGGTCACCAGGTGCAACTATCAGACAGTGTTTGGGACCTCTGGGAGGTGAAGTCACTGGGGACTTACCCCACAACAGTAGACTTTAGGAATTCTCATAAAGGCTGAGTTTGGCCCCACCCACTAACCTCCTCTCCTCTCAGCTCCAGAGGTAATCACACACCACCAGCACCGCTGCTCCTCTCCTCTCCTGCGTGAGCCACGAGGCACTGCAGCCCAGGCACCCCTCACCACATCCATGCCAGGTGGACACTGAGCACAAATATGTCTTCAACATACAGCGCCAAATAGGTCTTCCAGGCAGACATGCATCATGGCTTCTGCTCTAGCTGTCACTCCCCAGGACAGCAAGGTGCCCCGAAGGGGGACTGCTGGTTAGACAAGCGACTGCCCCCGTCTTTTGCATCCACTGACGCCTCCAGCTTCTTACCCACTGGGCCGGGTCCTTATTCCTCTTGGCACTCCTGGCGCCTGATTTGGTCTTATCACATCACAAGTTCTCCAAGTATCAGTATATTGAATGAATATTTCATGAATGAATTTTTAAAAATATGTGAATTAGATGCATTCAGAAATGAGAAGTTAAGAAAAAAGCTTAATAAAGAAGGAGCCTGAAGCACAAAACCAAATTGTAATTATTTGCGACTGGTGTTGTAAATATCTATCAGCCCGGCGTTGCCAAGATTGATTCCTGCTTACTCCACAGAGCAAGCTGAGTAATTTATAACTTTTTAGAAGTGATTTGTGTTGGTGTCACAAGAAGACTAGATTTATGTTCTCAGGGATCTTGGGCCACATGAAAACATCAAGACCAAGAGACAAAGAGCATAAGATAGTTCCCCACCCATGGAAGGGGCCAGCTCCAGCAGCATGGAGCCCTGGGCAGGAACCAGTCCTCTTGACCTCACTCACTCAGCCCCGCCGGCCCACACCACACTGGGCACTGGGGACCTAGCACACACCGCGGCGGAACATCCCAACCGGGAGACAAGAAGCACAGAAAGGTCCCCAACAGCCCCGCCCCCACCACTGGAGCTCCAGCTTCCACCAGCCAAACCCTGACACAGGGCTTCAGCCCCTTCACATTCCTATGGCCTCAACAATCACACCACATGTGAAGGCCCTGCAAGTCATGTGGCGGGAGCATCAGCATGGAAATGACTATGGTGACATATTTCTGCAATAAAATATTAATAAGTCAAAATGAAACAATCAGATGTATATTTACTCCAAAGTGTAGTGCTTAAGTTTCAGAGGACATTTTATGATGGGAAAGCACTCTACCATTTAAAAGAAAAACAAATCTCGGAGTAGCATTTGTTTGTGGATCTATATCCACACAATAACAACAGAAAAACACAAATGCAAACACCATCACTCCCAAGACAGAGGTCGCTCTAAGGAGAAAGGGAAGAGAACTGAGGTGGTGGGAGAGATACTTACTTTGGTTTATTTCTCCCAACATTTTCTTCTGAAGAAGTTCAAATGTATAGTTGGCAGATGTTACAGTGACCACCCTACAGTCCCCGCTCCCCACCCCCTCTTGCAAGCCCCCCTGCACAGGCCACCAGGAGACAGGGCTGTTAACACTGCATTGCCCTTGTCACCTGATGTCTCCTCCCATCCCGAACTCCATCTGGTTTGCTGTGTGCTTTGAAGACTATTGTGGATATCCTACATCTTCCCCAAACCTGCTGGTGCACGTATCATGAACTGGAACTCAGCGTCTGTTCGCAGCTTTTTCTTTTGAGGTAAGATTGGCATACAGAGAAATGTACGACTCTCAAGTCAACATGGCTGAGGTTTGACGACGTACACTTGGGTAACACAAGAACCTGTCGCATTACCTCATTGGAAAAATTCCCTCTGGCCTCTTGGATCAGACCCATCCCAACCTCTCCAGACGCTCAGCCTCTCCTCCAGTGGCTGCTTTGGTTAGTTCCTGAGCTCCATATGAGTGGAACCACACAGGATGTGCCCATGGGGGCGAGTCTGGCTTCACTTGCCACAACACTCCCAGGTACCTCCATTTCTGTGGAGGAATCGTTCTGAAACATTCCTCTGGTAGGGATGCCAGGGATCTTTCTGGTTTTTGGCTTAGGGACATTTTTCTATAATTGTTTCTATGTTTTAATTAAAAAAATAACTAACTAGACCTGGGATAGATGGACAAAGATAAGTGCATGATTAGTTTTATAAGAAAGCGCCAGAACTTCTGCCACAGTGGCTGCACTATTTATTCTGTCTTCTGCCAACAGGAGAGTTCCAGTTGCTCCACACCGTCCACAACACTCAGTGTCGTCTTTCTTATTCTAACCGCTCTGTACCTCCTTGCGGTTAGGACTTGCAGCTCCCCATTAACTAATAATATTAATGTCAGTTTAAAAGTTATTTTTTTTATTTCTAAAAAAAAAATCCGTTTCTGGCTGGGCGCCGGTGGTTCACACCTGTCATCCTAGTGACTCAGGAGGCTGAGATCTGAGGATCGTGGTTCAAAGCCAGCCCAGGCAAGAAAGTCTGTGAGACTCTTTTCTCCAATTAACCACCAGAAAACCGGGAGTGGTGCTGTGGCTCAAGTTGTAGAGTATTAGCCTTAAGCTGAAGAGCTGAGAGACAGCATCTAGACCCAGAGTTCAAGCCCCATGACCGACCCCCCCCAAAAAAAATCTGTTCCTTAAAACAAGACAGATAGAGAAACAGAAAAATAGAGACAAAGAAAGAGATATGAAACGAATATAACAAAAAGCTTAAATCTAAAACACAAGTATGCTAGTTTCTTTTTTGTATGTTTGAAGTCTTTTTCAATTAAAAATTAAAAACAAACAAACATGATTCCATCCATGATTCCATCTACAGGCATATGGCACAACAGCCCAGGGTGGATTGGGAGGTATGCTCTATTGTCTCAGGAAAGGCCAGCGGGTGGGAGGGGAGGTGGGGGGGAGGGGGAAGCAGGACAAGACATTGCTTGCTCCCAGGGCCAGGGACATACCCTGGTCCTGGGCTCACCCGAGTCACAGCACACTCACCGCTGGCACTCGCTGGCATGCAGAACAAGCTCTTCACTGTTTCTGGCACTGACTGTCAACTCATGGTCCGTGGAGTTGAGGACGTCCAGTAGCAGGTGGCACTTCCGGGTACTGTGGAAAGATGAAGGGAAGCTCAGAATCCTCCCCTAGGTACTAAGATTTCTCCCCACTTGGAGAGGCGCACATTGCAATTTATCAAAATGCCCAGGACACCTTCTTACAACTGAGTCCTGCTCTCTACAAACCAGTGATGCTGGAAGGTAACTCAGCTCTCTATACTAGCATGGGAGGAGGCCGAGATCACCCACCCTATATACTTGGTTCACAGTGTCACTCAACAAAGGCTATGTTTGAGTGAAGCACCAAGTAAGAGGCTGGGCATGGTTCCTACCTGTATAGACATCCCCGCGAGTTTCTGGCCCAGGAGGTCCACCAGACTCCTCCTCAAGGCAGGCAGAGAGATTAATTACCACCCACCTGAGACCTCTACTCTTTGTTGGCTTTGTAGTAGGTGAATTAAACATTCCAGTGATCATGGCCTCTTAGAGCTGAGAGAAGTTGGTATGATGAAGTTGTAGCCAAGAAGATGCAGGCGCTAAGATTTTCTACCCCAGATAAAAGACAGTGCCTTGAGAGTGGAGGCTTCCATGTTTCCACAGCCCTCCTCCCTTCTTTCTTCCCTGGGTGGGAGCTGGGTCCCTGGAGCTGGGCAACCATTCAGAGGAGAGATGGCACAGTGGAGGCCAGAAGAAGCCAGCCGAGAGGGACAGGCTCAGCGGCTAAGGCTCCCCAGTGCCGCCTCCTCTACACTTATTATCTACACGCATGAAGTGCTTTTAAAAAGCCAACAGCACATGCTTCATTTGTGTCAGTCACTATTCGTTAGGTTTCCATTACAGCTGACTGCGTGCCTAAAACTCGCATAGGATTCCAAACACCAAGCATGCCAGCGAGCCCATGGCAGGGAATCGAGAAGGGTTTGCAGATCTCCATGGGATGGCGGCTCCCATGACAGGAGCGGAGAGAGGATGGCATCAGAGCAGGGGCTCTGTCCTGGGAAAGGCAGGCAGGACAAATCCGATGGATGCAAGAAAGGCTTGGAGACAAAGATTTGGGGTGCTGTGGTCATTTCTAGCTTGGTGTGGCTTCACATATGACCTACCAAAGGGCATTTGGTTTCTCAAGGCCTTGCCCCCCAGGTATGAGCAAGGCTTTGTTCTGGATGTTAGGAAGTCAACGGGAAGAAGGGATGAACCACCGGGCTCCACCTGTGTCCTGGTGGTGATCCCAGGGAAGCCCAAAGAAGGAGTGGCTCAGGAGAAGAGAGACTTGCTCGTGTGATCATTCCAATGCTCTGCCTTGCCAGCAGATGGGGCTGGGGACCTGGGTTCAAAGCCACCCCCCATCAACTGCTCCCTCCAGAGAGGGAAACTGAGGCACAGAGCAGTGCAGAAGCATGCCAAGGGCTCACACACAGATGTAAACACTATCCAAAGGCCACAGGGCATCCAAAATATCAAAGTCTCATAATGTGGGCACATGACCTCTGGTGACAGGAAGGCAGAGGTCTAGAGACTACTACTAATATCTAGACTACCAGACACTAGACTACTCTAGTCTAGAGACTACAGTGTCTTTGTGTGGCGTGACACGTGTTTGGACGACAGACTCTTATCAGCTGACGTGGGGCCATGAGGTGGGGATGTGGTCCCCAGAGGTTCAGATTTGGAAAATACTCATTAGTTCCGCCAGCTGACAACACACGGCAGCTCCTAGGAAAACGAAGGTCTGTGCTGCTCTTGTCATAACTTCATGAAATCTTTAATCACAGCACAAGCTTTCAACAGAAAACAGGAACTGGTAAAACATTTATCAGGAGGGGAAATTGAAGCGATTTTTTTAAGGTTGGGATAAGAGTCCAATATATGTCATTTGCACTCACAGAGCTCACAAGCCCAGCAAATGCACAGGAAGGAGCAAACATCAATACACAACATGGTTTTGTCCGAGTTGTTTTTCTGACTCACTGTCTGAGAGTGGGGGCGGCCGGAGCTAGTGTTTCTCTTCCTCCTTATTGTTGACATGATGATATACTGGTAGATCTTTGTTTTCCATCCGTTGCTCATAAATTAATTCCCTCTTGCAGACTGCAGGAGCATTCTGTGCCCATCACAATATCACGCTCTCTCTGCCTTTCTTCCTCCCTCAGGATGATTCTCCTTACTGCTTAGGATCTTCTGGAGTACAGTCTGCTTTCCATTTCTGTTTCCTTCTTTCTTCTCTTTTTTTAGATTTTTGAAATTTTATTGTCAAGGTGATGTACAGAGAGGTTACAGTTACATAAGTAAGGCAGTGAGTCCATTTCTTGCTGAACATTGTTATCCCCCTCCCTTGTTTCTCTCTCTTTCCTTCTCTCCCCAACTGCCCCCCCCACAGCTGTAAAGTTCACTTCTAACATATTGTCTTGTGAGTATGGCTGTTGCATTGGTTCACCCTTTGTCCTTTGTCTCACCGTTTTGTTGTTCCCCTTCCCTTCCCCTATTCAGATCAACGTATATACAAGACACAGGGTTTGTCTGGTTCCATCTTTATCTTTAGAGCTGAGGAGCCCAAGAAATGTTACCAGAAGAACGATGGTCGGAAGAAGGCTTTGACGGCACATATGTCCACCTGGCTTGGAAATGAGAAGCAAGCAAAGTACCTATGCTCAAGAAAGCAGTCATTCTGAGTCTAAGGTCAAGCTCACTACAGGAGATCCAGCTGCTGTGTGGCAGACTCCTCAGACAGAGCAGTGCTTTCCCTGCCCAGAATTGGGAATTCGTTCATGTGACCAGTACCCATTAAATCCCTCCTGTGTCAGTTCTGCTCTGAACACTTGGGATATGGAAGCAAGCTGTTAGGAAAGGTTAGACAAAGGATGAGCTGTGGTTGAGAAATTAAAATGTTAGCTGGATAGGGCAGCCCATGCCGATAATCCTCTCTAACTAGTTGGAAGAGATCAGGGGATTATGGGTCTAGGCTAGCCTGGACATGAAAATTGACAAGACTTCATTTCAACCAATGGCTATGTATGACAAAAGGAAGTACAAATAGGATTTTGGTCCAGGGAAGCCTGGGCATAAAATAAGACTTGTCTTGAAAATAACCAATGCAAAAAGTGGTTGACTGTTAATTGAATGACTCAAGTGCCTGCTCAGCACAAGTGAAGTCCTGCGATCAAACTCCAGGACCACCCAAACAGAAAATAAAACAATATAAAATAAAGTTTAATCTCTGGCTGTGATTTTTTTCCAAAACAAATTCAAAGTAGTTGTTGAGTAAGGGATTATGACATGCAAGATTACCAATATTTCTGCATATTAACTGAAAATAATTACAAAGTAATTTTTTAAAGAAAAGAAATAGAAAATGAGGGAGGGGGTAACACTGTCTGAAAAGACATTTACTCAGTATCTTACTTAGGTAACTGTAGCCCCTCTGGAAATCACCTCTACAATAAAATAAAGTAAAAAACTACACCAAAAATATGAAAAAAAAAAAGAAACGTAAGTCCTAAGGTACATAGGAATAAATGTAATGCAATGTATGTAATGCATTTATGTACACTAGTAGAGAATTTATGAACAATACTAATGTCTGAAATGTTATATGTGAGAGCCAAGGGCCAAGACATGCAAAGCAACGATGAGAACGATCTGGGAAAGATTTAGCCGGTGGATACTGAGAGTTGTTACAAGGTTATCAGTGAGGACAGAGGTCCTGGGGCATTTTGGGAAAAACAGGAGTGAAAAGAGAAGACAACAGAAGAGATCCATGAACATAGGTGGCTGGAAGGATTGCTGACACCAGGATGCCAATCTGCAAGGAGAAAGCACTAGAAAGAATCCTGCAACAGACAGTTATGCAGGAAAGACAGAAAGTCTCACCCGTACCTTGTACCATAAGCAAAACAAGTTCCAAGTAAACTGAGTATCTACCTAAACATAGAAAAATTATAAAATCTTTTCTAAGGTACAAGTAAACAGCTTAAGACTTTGGAAAGGAGAAAGATGTCTCAAATGAGTTATAAGACCTGAAACATAGAAAAGATTAAAAGGTTTGGCTACATTGAAATAGAGAACACCAATATAATAGAAAACATTTTAAAACCAAAGCCCAGACGCCTACTTGTGAAAAGGGATTTGTACTGTTTACAGGGACAAAGGATCAGAATCTTGTGTTTATAGCAAATTCTCAAAAATGAGTAAGAAGTGACTCAGTAGTAAACCAATCAGGAGGACAAGGTCTGATGATTGACACTAGTGGAGATTCAAGAGTCAATGAACAGAAAACAGAAACTAAATTCAACTAGTAGACTGAGACAAGGAAATGAAATCCTGAGATCAGATTTGCCATTCATCCCAGTAGAAATAGTTTAGAAGTGCTCCTGTGTCAAATGTCAGCCAAGATGTACATAAAGGATGGAATTCTCATTTGGCATCAGGAGTGGGTATAAGTGGTACAAGTCCCTCAGAGAAAAAAAAACTGGGAACACCTAGCCATGTTCTATGTGCCCCTCAACCTAACAAATCCACACTTCTAGGCACTTATCTTGGATCTGTTCCAAGTAAGACAAAAGGAGCCTTGTTGCAACATTGTTTACAAAAGCAAAGAACCGCTTTTAACCAAATCCACAAGTGAAGAGCATCTACAAGAGGCAAAGATGGAAAACGAGAGGCAAAAAGCACCCCAGGTAAATCTCGTGTTAATAATGTTCAGCAAAATAAGTTGTAAAAGTTACCATACACATATGAGAGAGAGAGAGAGAGAGAGAGAGAGAGAGAGAGGAGAGAATATATATACCAAAATTAAGATTCAAGAAAACACTTCACAGTGTTTCCAAACATCAAAGGTAAGATATTCGTTATTCCTGGTGTGGTATGAGGAAGGAAAATTATTTTATAGAGGATTATACAGATCTTTCAAAGAATATTCTTATGTTTTAACTTTAGAAAATAGAAGCAAATACAATAGAAAAATATGAAATTGAACAAATCTGCAAGGTGGACAAGCTGAAGCCTCTTGACCTTTGTTTCTAGTAGCTAAAATGGTTTATAAAAATATTTAAACTT